GTAGTTTCAAAGCTAAAGCGATTGAACAGTTGGTGACCTTCCCTCGTAAGTATTAGATAGTAGCTTATGATTGTTGAATCGATATGGATACGGTTTTGATCGACAATTGTTTAATTATACTTATGAATTCAGAAGAATGCAAAACATTATTGTTTTAAAGAAAACGCAAGAGGATAATATTTGCAGCATCTGCAGTTTACCGTGTAGATTTGCTGAAAGTATTCTGAAAAATATGTTGCTTTAGATTTGTAAAGCAAATGATCCTTATGATAAAGGTAGTTAATTAAGCATTATCGAGTACAAAAATATTCTTTTTTCAAGTAGCTTTTACTGATCAAAATAATTTTGTTTCTATTATTACTATCAGTTGGAATACATGTGTAATAGTTTCGATAAAAAAATTTTCGATCTCTTAGCAAATTAGTTCATCGCACTTCCATAAGTATTATCTATTATTTGAATTCTTACAAAAGATATGGTTGATTGAATAATACAAAATAAATTAAACGAATTTTAAAGTCTTGAAACAATTTGAGATATCAAATGTTAAACAAATATTAGTAAATAACTATAGAATACATGATGGTTAATTTTATTCATAAAAACAATCATTGAAAGAATATGAGAGAAAATTTTATTTTCTTGGTTTTATTCATACAAAAAAATTTTCTCAGACTTTAAGCTCGAATTAATTGACAGAGAAATCTGATTTTCGTTTTCTTTTGAAAAATGTAAAAAATTAATTTATTATGTTATCTAGTCCTCAGTACGAATAACTACAAGTGATCATAGCATCAAAGTTCGTATACAAGTATGATGTGTTCGACGTCGTGAATCTAATTTTAATTCAGATCATTGAATTAAATAATATATAAATATTTACTAATGCTCATTAATTTGTGCTTAATGAGTCAAGACAAAATTTATAGTGATCTTAATCTATGCCGGTCAATTCAACTATATACATGTTAGAAAATTATTTGTAGATTACAATAATTACACATTATAAAAAGGCATGTATTTTTGATTGTGACATTTATGGTATACCATTCAGTTTCTTGGCTTTTCCTTTTATCATGCAATGAAAAAGCATCAATAATAGCAAAATTAAAAAATCGGTTGAAAAAGAAAAGGTCACGAATAATGTCAACAAGTACCGTAATACTGTTATTCATGATAATAGTAATAGATTCTGGAACTCTCTAGTTAGACTATAGTGAATCAATAAACATGATGGTTAAGTACAGATTTATGTTTTAATAACAATATGTGCATATTCAATTGTAAAATACAGTCTATCAAATTAGATTCTAGTCACGTTCATCAACGTCTAGGAGAATATATCTTAATGATACTAATAAAATGAACTTTCAATGAAGGACTAATGAAATGTCTGATTGGTGGATCTCATAGAACAGGAATTGAACAGTATTTTCTATCCCTCTTCGTTTAAAACTTATTAGTAAAAGTCGATCATGTTCAGTTAATACAAAGACTTGTTGCAGTGTCAACTGTAGAAAAATAAAAGTTACATTGAACTCGAAAAAACGGATATTTTGTTAATCAACGAATCAGTGTGATGAGAGTGACATCGATTTTTTAATCTCAAGCTGTGATATTAATAAAGTTTTATCAAGAATTTGAGTTCCATTAATTAATCAACTGTAGTCATCATTCAACATTTCAATATCGAATAAATCATTTTAGATTTTATTAAATCTTACTAAATAACTATTTATGTGCTTTGTACAAATATAATCTTAACAAAAAAAAAACCTACAACAAATAATTGGAAATTTTTTCGAGAACTTGAATGTCTAATTCTTGAACTTATAGTTATCGAAATGTTTCTGATGTACATCGATTCATATAAATCTTTCCATCACTTCCACTAGGTAATGTTGGACGATGATGTAATATTGGTGTTGATGCACCTGAAACATCATGATTTCGACTTCGTCTAAATGATAAACGTTGATTTATAGAATGATGACCACCATCTTTTTGATAAGAAAATTTAGCTGAATGACGTCCCGAAATTAATGATTCAGCTGATCTACAAAAAATAATATTTATAAATGCACGTCGAAATACATCACTAAATATAGTATATATAAATGGATTAGCCATAGATGAACTATAACCAAGCCATGTTATTGAAAACCAAACAGTTGATGATAAATTGTCATGACATCGTTGACATATACCTGATATAAATGTACAAATAAAAAATGGTGTCCATAATGTAACAAATACACAAAATATAATCATTAAAACTCTTAAAGCTTTTCGTTCATTAGCTGCAACGATATCTTCATCATTTATACGTTGTTGAGAAGGAACCTTTGAAAATAATCTTGAAGGATAATTATACATCATAGATGAAGAATCAGATGAATTTGTCATTGTTGGTGAACTGAATTGTTGATGTTGTTGTCGTGTTTTAAATGAATTTGAAATCATATATCCTGATCGATATTGATATTGTCGTCGTAATGGTTTATGATAACGTGTAAATATATGACTTTCATGACGATTTGGTGTATGTAAAAAACTACATGATGATGTTGATGTACGCGAACGACTATCAGTAGTTAAAATAGGTTCTAATTCAGATTCCATTCGAGAAAAATGATTAATAGGATATGGTTGTCGTATTTGATTTGATGATGATAGTGCAGATGAACGTTGACCCGATGAGAAAGAAGATTTTGATGAACTACCACTTGAACGTACTGGTGATGTTGGCGTATGACGAAAGAAATTTGTTAATAAAGATGATGATGGTAATACTGATCGATTAAATCGAAATTTTCGTTGTTTAGATGCATTATATACACCATGTTCATTAACATTAGTTGGATTGATATTAGGAGAATCTGAATTTGAAAAAGAAGTTGTTTGTGTTGAAACTGTTCGATGATATTTTATTGGTGTTATATAAAATGATGATATTGACGTTGATTGATTTACTTTTAAGGATTTTTTATTTAAATTTGATGAATATTCAATTGATAAAGGTTGTAATCGATAAGGAAAATAGAATATATAATATTGAAGAATATATTGAATAATTTCAAAACAATATTTCCATGGAATTTTCAAAAATATTGGTTCAGTTGGATGATACAAAGCAAATTGTTGAAATGATGGCGAAGCTATTTGCATGTGAACAGATTCATGTACATCAGCTTAAATAAAAAAAATAAAAGAAATTATGATTAATCTGAAATAGCATATTTCATTTATATGGTTCTTTTTTTTAGTTACAAAAAAACTTTGAATGTTGGATTCAAAAGAATATGAAACGTTAATATCAGTTATTGAACGTTAGATTACAAGTCATTTAAGGTACCCCTAAAAAAACAGTCACTTTTCGTCAGAATGATCGATCACTAAGATAAATACAGGAAAAAATAGTCTATGATCGGATTTCTCATAAACGACAAAATTTTTATTCGACACTTCGTTTTTTCTTCTAAAAACTTTTGAAGATTTCTATCATCCCTGATTCGAAAAATAACCTGTTTTTTTTCTCATTTTATAGGTTTTCGATCGTATCTCTAAGAATTTTCGAAGGAGCTTCATTGTTTTTAAAGTAAGCTTTTTTATTATCATAGAAGAAAACACCTTTATAGAAACAGTGTCATTTTTAGGGGTTTTCTTAAGTCATTGAACTTGTCATCACTTTTCTTCGCTTAAAAAGTAAGAATTTAAAAAACAAAAGGGCTACGAGAGTCACTAGTCCTAAACACGAGTTTTCAATAAAAAAAAAAAAAGATTAAATGTATAGAATGAAGGCCCACAGAGAATTCTTGGAGACCAAATGAGCTATTGTTGACTCTTGTTTGATGAATCTCTCTGTCAAACGTCATGATATAGGACTGAAATTTTTACCATAGTCTTCCCATACCAGCCTCAACACATATCCTGAATGTTTCATGCAATTTGAATATTCCTACTCTGAGATCTACTTTTGAGGACCGAGGGAGCCTTAATCAGCATCTAATCTAGCTAAGGATAGGTTCTTCCTTACTTATATTGTTGAACATATGATCGAAATTTGTTTAGAAATAAATTCTTTGATTTGCAGTGGATATAAAAAGTTCTTAGGTATTGTCTTTTTCTATTTTTACATTTGTGAAAAAACTTGTTCAACAAACATGATTTAATGAAAAGAGCATAGAATTGGTCGATGTATATTAAAGATAACCGGAAGAATTATTATATCTGAAAATGTTTACTTTTCATATATGTTAAAAAATAAAAATTTTTTAAATAATCTTTTTTTTGTTTTTGTACTGATAAAAATTAGACGACATAGACTTATTTAATAAATTTTCATCTATTGTCGATAGATTATTCAAGACAAACAGATATTTTTACTGAAAAAAGAAATCTTCAGACAGAAAAGAATAAGTTCATGATTTTGTAGAGATAAAATATTATTATTATTTTGTGTGGAGTAATAATTATGTTCGTATACAAAAACTTTTTCGATTCCTAACTCATTTTAGACAAATAAGATATTAAATTTGATTTATATTATTCCATGAACTTACTTTTACTATCCGTATCTGATATTGAACTAGGTTCTTCTTCTTCAAGTGTTGATGTATCGTTAATAGTTGATTTTATAAGATTTGAATTTTCTAATTGTTCAATTTTGTCTATTTGTTCAGATATTTGTTGTCCGTTATTAACGATTGATAGTCGACAAGCATTATTACTTACGACAGCTGATATGTCATTTAAACTTGATGTTGATTTCGAATATTCTGTTATCTCATAAACAGTACTCATATCTATACCATTTTCTTTTCTATGCATTGCCGTATTCATTGTTAATATTTGTTGTTGATAACATCGATTTCTACTTCCACTTGGTTTAATATAACTAATAGTTAAATGTTGTGAATTATGATGAATAGGATCATTATTAATATTAACTTCATTAATCATATCTTTTGAGTTATTATCTTGCTGTAAATTTATATTTGTATTATTTATAGAAAATAATGATGTACGAGAATCTGTTAGTGAAGTTGCTTTTTTTATTGTATATAATGTTTTGTTTAAAATAGAATTATTATCACTATTATTATTATTGTTATTGTTATTATTATTTGTTGTTGTTGTTTTTTGTATTGTTTGTTTTTTTCCTGATGATGTACGTCGGATACCTTGAGCTATTTCAGCATATTGATGTATTATCTGTGCTAATGGTCGAAATGTTTGCTTTTGTCGTCTTTCACGATTATATTTTTTTTTATTAACTAATACATTTCTTAATGAACGCATTGTTAATGCATATGTTGTTATCATTATTATAAATGGAATATAAAAAGCAAAAATTGAACCATAAATTCTAAATGATGCATTATTTGGTGCACATATACCTTCTGATAAAACATTTTTTTCATTAACAATTCCTAATACAAATATAGGTGATGATACAGCTGCACTTATAGCCCAAACAGCAACTATTTTAAGAAACATAATACGACGAGTTTTATTTCTTCCATAACGAAATGGAAAACGAATTGTAAAATATCTATCCATTGACATTGTACTCATATGCCATATAGATGATGTGCAACACAATACGTCCATGGTAGCAAATATAATACATGCAGAATGTGGTAATGGAAAGTGACCGAAAACTTCAGAAACCATTCCCATTGGCATGACTAGAATAGCAACAAGACAATCTGCAATTGCTAATGACATAAGAAAATAATTTGTTGTATTTTGTAATTTTCGTTCCCGAGCTATAGCTAAACAAACCAGAAGATTACCAGCAGCAGTAACAAAAATAACTAGAATTAAAAATAAATAAATAAATATAACGTAGTTTGTTTCATTAATATCATGTTTTGTTAAATCTAATTATTTCCGATTAGTATTAAGTGTGCTTGTAGAATAAATCATATATATTATTAACAATAAAATAAAAAGAAGCGTCAATAATACTACACTTACTAATAACCAACAGGAAACGATACCACATTATTCGTATGGATGGTTGAAAATTTTCAGTATTGAATAGTGTTGAATTTTGTTCATTAACTATCCGTATAGCAGTTGATGAGGAATTGGACGGTTCCTTAATATAAAAATACATTGCTATATCAATTGGTGTCAAAAGAATAAAATTAAAAAGAATTGAAATATCGGGAAAGAAAAGTGTTTCTTTCGTTTGAGATTTCAATATAAAAAAAAGGCAATTTCATGTTATCTGCGCATGATCGAACACTGATTAAAGGCAGCTTCCCTTCGTTATTTTGGTCTTCATCATAATGAACTAATAATAATAGAGACGATAAATATCTCGCTTGTTGCCGTTCTTGCTTTTCTTCGTCATCGTCTTTCGCGTTCATTTCTTTTGTCAAAATTCTCTTTTATATCTTATTTAGATATATTTCATAACAACATTATGAATACAATATTATGGAAAGAGATCAAACAAACCATTATTGGTTCTTTTGCACTGCAAACAAATACAAAAAAAAACAAGGCATTTAAATTCTTGCCAGAACATACTCTTTTTTTAAATAAGTACTTTGTGACAGTTTATAAAAGACAACTTTGAAGAAAAGATGACACCTGTTAGCTCAATAAGCTTATCAAAGACATTTTGGAGTTGATATATTTAATGTCAGTATGATTTAACAGGACACTCTGTTTCATTTTAATATTTCTTTTTTTTTCTTATCATCATTAGATATTAAATGAGAATATCTTAAAAATTTGATAAATACTTACAGCAAGTGAATGACGCACAACTGTCAATGATGATGATGTTGATGATGAAAAATTGAGATTAAACATTCTGTTTTTTTTTTTGTAGAAAGTACTTGAATCTAAATAAAAACAATCATAATGATAAAAATCAGTTAAAAAAAGAATAAAATAGGACATGTATTAATTCTAATTTAAAATTACACTAGAGATAGTAAAACGCTCATCATATTATTATTTAAATGTTTAAAAAAAAAGGAATTTTTTTTTAAAAATATCGTTTCGCTTTTGAGAAAAGAAAAGGCTTTTTTTTTAATGTTTTTTAGATCAAAAATTGAAGAACTTTCCATATCATGAAATCATAACAGAATAAAAATGAGCTTTCTTCTTCTTTTTTTTGTCAATTACTAACGGATAATTTCATGATGACATAAGCTTAATAATTAAAAGGTATGTTCTAGGAATAGCTATATTAAAAGGAAAAAAAGTTTTACCTAGACAATAACTATCTTGTAGATATATATATATATATGTCTTACAAAAAGAAAAGCCACTTTTTTTTTTTTAAATAAATAAAAATTACGAATAATGTCAATTATACTTCTTCATTCATCTTCCTTTTTTTTTCTCCTTATCATCTGTTATTGTTCTTTGGCGCATTCTTTCTTTTCTTTTTATGATTATAGATACAATAATAGACTCCTATATAATAAATACCTTAATCCTAACTGAAAAGGAAATATTGTGTCAATCCAAATGAAAAACAAATGTTACATGATAGAAATTTTAAAGTCTGAATATTAGGTCGCTATTCTGTAGGTGTCTGAACAAGTAAATCTACCTATAAAGTATTACTTATATGACTGTTAGAAAAATTTTTCTAGAATGCAATAGAAGATCAATTGCAAATGTCAGATACATCACATATAAATACTTGTGACTAGTATTTCATGAATAACTATAAACATGTCAGAATCATACAAATCTTCATAAAGGATAAGATGAGCACAATAAATAAAAATATAATAGAGAAAAAAGAAACCTAGAAATAGATAAGTCAGGTAGATGAAAAGCCTCTTGGCTCTTTGTAATGAAAATGATTGAATTTAATCTTCAAAATTAATCTATCTAAATATAGAAAAGTATACCCAGTAGAATTTTACAGTTCACGAATATCACTTTAGATAAATCTGGATTAAAAAAAAGACATACCATATATAGAAAAAATTTTAAATAGAGTTTATAAATATCTATTTTTTCAATATAAAAAATTAATGAATTTCCTGTAAAGTAATATTGAATGATATGTATATGTATATATATATATATATATAGATAAGTTCAGAAAGTTTTATATAAGTTTATTTTAATCATACATACTTTTCTATCAATTGTGTTTATCCCATGAGACATTTAAAACTTTTAATTAAGATAAATATAGATTAGAATAATAAACGAATAAAAGTAATAATACTATTAAAAAACTATTAATTAAAAAAAAAAGCGAAATGAAGATATTCAACGGAATAAACCATATGAACAATAAACTTTGTTATGTTCGTGATTTTGAAGGATGAGTACAAATAATATTGTTTTATAACTCAAGTATTCTCATTTACTCCATTCAATATGTCTCATGAGAACCATCTGCAATTGTTTGTCATACTCTATTTTTATTCTCCTATTGTAGACCTTCGTGAATATAAAGAAATTTCCGTTTTGTTGATGAAATCAGGTTCACTATGCCATCAATCATCTACACACACACACACATATATATATATATATATATATATATTATTTTCATTTGATGCCTTCGTTCTGCCTACTACTCTGATATGGTTGATTATTTCTGATAGATAATGTTTTGAATAAGAACAAAAGCAACAATAATCTTAAAGACTATTTTTATCTTGTCATAGTATTTTTTTTTAGAAATGTTTTTTTATCATGATATAACGGCAGAAAAGTCCTTATTTTGTAGCATTGAAATTAGATTCTATTGAAATATTATTGTTAACAATTGATGCATAATTGCTAAGTTATTTGCATGAATAATGGCAAATATCAACAATCATTTTATAAATTACCTTAATCTAGAATTTTAATAGAAAGTTGTCTATTCAAAGATACAATCTGACTTGTTTGATAGTTTTGTTTAATTCAAAGTACTAATTGGGTCTAGACTTTGAATTTAGAAAAAGATTTACTAATAAAATGTCGTGGCGCAAATTTCAAGAATGATTTTCTCGTACATTTGTGATATTCACCTCGGAATAGATAAGTAGTCAAATTAGTCTATTAAATCGAGCGAAAAAAAAAATAATATAAGATTTGATTTCTCTGCTTCAAATGATATTTTTCTATTTAACAATTTCCGTTCATAAAACTCCTTTTTTAAATTAAATATCAAAAATTTGCATATGAATTTTTTTCATATAATATCGACTTGCTGATTCAATTCTGAAGTCTTTAGTCTAATATAATTCACTACAATTATTATTCTTATATACAATAGTTTTTTTCATAGGTATACGTAATAATTTCTAATCATGCCTTGAAAACAATTTAATCTATTAAAAATTTTTCTTTTCATTGATTTGAATCTTATTATACTATTTGTTGTTTTTCTTTTTAATATCATATCCAAAAATTTCTATTTATTTTTTCATTTGAACAAGTATCTAATCGATGATTGATCTTTTCTAATATTATATTCATTAGAAAAAATAAAACGCATATTTAATAACCATACCTTTGACATGCAATATACTTTTACTATACTAGTAGCGAAGTATGAGAATATCATGATGTTTATAAATGAGTTTATTTTGCTCAAAACCTTAAATGATCTTCTTCCTCTCACATAATCATGCGGAAATTCTCTTTAGGAAATATATTAATGGTATATTAAATAACCTAAAGTCTAACCTAAAATAATTGTTTTTTTATTTATTAGTAATAAATGATGTGCAATATTCAAATCTAAAATATTTCTATTGTTCATATTGCTAAATTTGTAGAGAAATGTTTGTGTTTTCAAGTTATTTTTAACAACTTGTAACGATTTTCTCATATTAAATAAACAATTTATTTATAAATAAATAATGAATCAATTTTAATTTATTCATATTTCCGTCACCTTTCAAAAGCAAAAAAGAACTGGTTATTTATATATAGATCAGTTTATTTTAAGAATTCAATGCATTATAAACAACATACAATTTAAATTAATTATATTCAACCTTATCATACTGTAATTTTTTACTATATTCATGTTTGGATTCTTCTCGAGATTGACGTCATTCTATATACTAATTGGTCTAATTGACAGGACACGTCAAAAAGTATTTGTGAAGGCATTAAAGAATATCGATACTACGGTGTCGCTGATCTGTAGAAATATCAATGTTTGGTATCAATACAAATCTCATTTTTGATTATTAGAAAAAATTCCTAAAATAAATTTTATATTTTCACAAAAAAAAAAAGTTATTGAAAATATTTAGCGTTATTTTCAATGCCTATTTAAAAATTTCTATTCATATATAAGGTGAGTATCTTTCACCTAACAGCTGATTGGCCACCTGATTCTTGTCACACCTGTCCAAGAAAAAACAAGTCACTGAGTACGTATTGGTTAATGAAACAAACAACTAAATATTTTTATTATGAAAAAATGAGAATATAAAATTTTTTTAAAGTTAGATTACTTACATAGCTGTTTTCTTTTTTAATGAAATTCTATAAAAATTTTATATTTCATTTCAAGAAATATTTTGTTTAAATGTCCCAAACTCGAAATAATAATAATAATAATCAAATGATACGACATTGCATTGAAACAGCTGAAGCATATAATAGTTCAATGTTTTCGAATACGTCATCAATAACAATGAATACAAAATCAACAGATGATTTCATTAGTGTTACAGAACAAATACTATTTTGTCAAAATGGAATTGATAATTTAAATATTTCATCAAAGAACAATAATTCAATATTTGTAAGTCAAGATTAATTTGAAAAAATTTTATTTCAAAAGTTTTTATAATTAATTATAAAATAGAAACATCAAATTGTTAGAGTAAGATAAAGTTTTATAAATTTATTTTTGTCAAGATTTATTTATCTTTAGCACGATTTATATATCTCAAGAAATATAAAAATATTTTATTGAGGTTTATTTTTAATTTATTAACGTACGACAATGTTTTCTAGAATGTTTTCTGGCTGAAATATTTCTCTATAATTGTGAATTCTAAACCAGGACAGACAGAGAAGAAATAACTCTTAGTTAAATATAATTATATGAATTTGAAGTATACATTTAGATGTTTGCAAAAACTCATAACATGAAATAATCTATTTGCTTGATTTTTGTATTTTTTAACTTTGTTAAAAAGTTTTTATTAATTTCGAGATAAAATTTTACATTCAAACATAGTTTAGATAAGGTTAAATTATGTCGTTGTTTGTTTTGTGGACGTTTCTTTTTTATTTTTAAAATTATTTATTCAATTGAAAATTTTCACACAAGATATGAATAATAATTCATAAAACGTTTCAAATAATTAATCAGATTATTTCGAAGTTTATATATTCACATATAGTTGAAAGATTATTCTTTGTCTATATACCTTTTCAGTTGAAATAAACGATGCATTTACGAGATCAAAATTCATACTCGGTTGAAAAAAAGAATAAATCATCTATATTGTAGACCATAGGATCAATGAAAGAGAAAATCAATCTTCCTATGTTAACTATATTGTTGGGTATAAACATCTTGTAGGGATGCACTAAATCCAATTCTTAGATATGACTAGATTTATTCTTGAAAAAATTCGTAATCGAATTATTAATTTACATTAGTATATTTACTATTAGTAATTCTACAATAATCAAATCCAGTTTCAATTCTCGGCTTTGATACGACTGAATTCGAAATTGGTGTATCCCTAATATTCTCTATGCCTTATAAAATAATCTATTGTATATTAGTCAGAGGCGAAACTGACATCGATTATTTATATGATCGAAAATGTCTTGAATGTCGACTCTATTTAGAATGAAACATCTATTGGAGA